CTAGATATCGGAACGCAGGTGCGTTCCTCATTGTGCCAAACTAATCATGGTACCATAATCTTGATAAATCTTGATAATCTTGAAAAAACGTTCCATAAATTGCATGTGGGTCAAATACTGCCAGGTTGCCCAGGCCAGGGCAGGTGAATTTTCTTGAGGAATCCACTACTGGACCCTTCAACTAGCCAAAGCCAAGGCAGCATTTAAAAACCACAACCCACTCGGGTCCTGTACTCAGTTAATCGGATCACGCCCTTTGGACAGAGTCAAACGTCCAAGGTGCCCATACCCCTCGATACCCAATCGAGCCGGTGACCACTACCACAACTGAGGTGTGTGGTTCGTACGCCTCCTCTTGGTTTGCTTGATATCAGGGTTTTCAGCCAACTCCCTTAAGTGAACTACCAGTGGTCCACCAACCCGGTTATAGCCCCAGATATTGGCTTTTCGTCATCTCACTTTGGTGGGAAAATACCGCCACGAGAAGGCAGTTAGTAGGACTTCCTCAGCAGAGGCTATTTGAGACACTCGGTCGTATGAGAGCATTTCGTTAGATGCAAGGAAAGAGTGGTCAGCCGCAACCCTAGACACGGTCCCAACCATACTAAGGCTTTTGGAGGCCAGGTGGAGACTACCTCGGTTGTTTCAACTAAACAGCACGCCAAGAGACAGCTGCATAATATTTGTTAGGTGCAGTATTCCGATCTGATAGCGTACGTATCCTACTGTGCCTTATGCAGTTCACTACACCTAGTGCAGATTTGGTTACCGAATTCCACAACATAACCGTATGATTAGCCCTACTTTTGTTCATGCTTTATTTATTTCACTTTTATGTGATCATTTCCTGTGTGTTTAGCACAATATAGTACATAATATTCAGTGAGTTCACACTGCGTAATCATCTTATCTCTTAGTTGTCACTGGTATTCTGGCATGATTTTCTTTGTAGATAATGGCCGACACTGAAGCTGCCAAACGTTCCTTGTCGGATATTGAAGCAAGGCATGCGGATATTATTCGATTAGAAAAGAGTATAGAAGAGCTTCGAGATCTGTTCATGGCTGTATCGTTGATGGTTGATCAGCAGGTGAGTAGGCAGTTTTAACCAGTTTGGATTCGACCGAAACGTAACCACGCTCATTTTAAATACAGGAACACTATATTACTTTGATTGTATGAATCGTTTCATCCTTCACTTGCTTAACGATTTTTTAATCACTCATCCAATCAGATTTAAGGTTGATACATGTTTGATGAATGAAGGGGAATTTGTGGGGATGAGATGTGTCTTTGAGCGGTTTTTTTGTGCAGCAGTTTCGTTCCATAAAAACACTCGAATGTGCTACCACGATGATGGTGAGTGTAGTTTGTGTCTCTTGGTTTGTTCGGAATCAAGGCCGTTCGTCGGCTTCCCTTAGCGAACCGACGGTGGTTAATCAACCAGGTTATAACCCTAGATGTTGGTTTTTCATCCACTCACTTTGGTAGTAGAGCATCAGGTAGAACCTGCGCCTAGAGCTTCCTCAGCAGAGGCTATTTGATACGTTCGGTTGTATAGCAGCTTTTAGTGAGATGCAGGGAAAGGCTAAGCAGCCAAACCACTCAATTTTGCCGAGGCTTTTGAAGGCAATGACTATGAATAACTCGCGCATTAGACTGTGGGATTCTTACTTTAAGTTAAGTTGATTCCACGCAGCGTTGCACGAATCTGGTGAGGCAGCCGGACGAGCAATGCTGAGGCCAGGCGAAAAGTTTTAGGCTATCGCGGTCGCCCACTGGAGCAAGTGATCGACCTCCATAGATTACGTTGGTTGGGGCATGTGTTACGCATGTCACCAGATAGGTTACCACGGCGAACGATGTTCGCCGAAGCAGATACCGAGTGGTCAAGCTAAGACCTGGTACGAGGGTATGAAAACCCTAACCAGGAGACTAGGTCACATGGGTCCTGTTAGGCTCCCTGGCTGGGAAACTCGGGATGATCGTAACCGTTGTTTAGAGACACTGAGTGATGTGGCTGGGTGTCGCAAACAGTGGCGTTCTTGCATCTCCTCAGTTTCTTTGCAACCTTAGACCACTGGACTTCTCCATTTTCTGTTCGACTCCACTTTCAACTCTCCTATTCTTCATCCAAATGGACAACCAAAGGACAGCAACCAAAACCGGCGCACAATAGTGCATGGTTAATGGTTGTACAAACTGAAAAAACTGTAGCAATGAGAGCAATGGCAAAAGCGTATCTAGGTTATTCCGTACTGCGGTTTGGGAGTTCTGTGATCAGTACCGTAAACTCTACGTCAAAGTTGACACATCCAGCCCCAAGCAGTTACATCAAATAAATATACTTGCAAATAAACAGCTGCATTACGAAGAAAAAGTTACTAAACTTAACATTCATACCGCTTTTCCAATTTGCGGAAATGCCTTAAATGGTACAAAAAATGTGATCGTTCATCTTGGGGCGAATCACTAATCGTTCCCATTTTCAAGAAAGGATCTCGCAACGATTGTGAAAACAACCGCGGGATCAGTTTAATCCCAATCATCACCAAAATGCTAGCCTCGGTTGTACTTCGGCGTCTGACTCTTACGAGGGATCAACATCCGTAAACAACAAGTCGGATTCCGGCCTGGCCGTGGATGTATTGGTAAAATTTTTACGTTACGCCAGGTTCTTGAGCTACGTCATACCCACCATCGACCAATGATCGCCGTGTCCCTTGATTTAAAAGGAGCCTTCGACTCAGTTGATCGCGAAGCTCTAATGGGCTCCCTTCTTCGAAAGGAATGCCTCAGAAGTACGTACGTGCATACCTCTGGTCGTGTAAGGGTCTATAATGAACTAAGTAGGTCATTCGTCATCATTAGCGTCGTTCGTCAAGGGTGCCCTCTCGCTGTTCCTGTTCAACTTCGTCGTAGACGAAATACTGGAGGATGCAATTAGTGGTATCCGAAATGTAGGTATTGAACGGGCAGGTGGAGAAAAACTGTGCGATCTAAAATACACCGATGACGTCGTCTGCCTGTTCGAATGTATGGGGGACCCGTAAAGCACACTGGATAGACTGACAAGTGGAGTTGCCACATTCGGTATGTGCTTTGCACCTTCAAAGTGCAACTTGATGCTTCAGGACTGGGTTTCGCCTACTCTGGCTCTGAAACTAAATAGTCGGGAATTAGTTACGGTGGATTGCTTTTCCTGCTTAGGTAGCTGCGTGACCCATGGCCGTAGCGCATCCAAGGAGATAACCGCCCGCATTTCCAAGGTTCGAGCAGCATATGCAGGACTGAAACACCTTTGGCGTAGACGCGACGTTTTACTGAGGTTGAAAGGTGGACATTGCGCTAGCGTTCGTTCAGTTCTGCTTTACGGTTGTGAGACCTTGAGTTTGCGAGTAGAAGGTATCCGTCGGCTAGATGTTTTCGATTATCGATTTTAACGCAGTTTAGCCCATGTTGGATGGAGCGAACGGGTTAGTTACGTGGAGGTAAGCCGTCTTGTGTTTGGGAGTCTATCGGGTATAAGCCTGATAGCACACCGCATTCAGATTAGTTGACTTCGCCGGCTAGGGCGCGTATTGCGTATGCCCAGCCATCGTCTGNTTATTCGCTGTAGCTAATCCGGGCTGAAGGAAACCACGTGGAGGTCAACAGATAACGTGGAGACGAGGCATGAAGAAATGCACAGAACCATTAGGTAGAGTAGGTGTCTCGTGCCTTCCAGGTTGGGGTCCGGAAGACTCTACAACTGGTTGGTTGGAGACATTGAAGGATATGGCAGCAAACCGACAGCAGTGGCATTCTTGTCATTTTTTATCAGGCCAGAACGCTTGAAACGGTATGTATGCATAGTTCAATCGTGTATTGACCACAGTGGTTCACCTTTTCCCTTCCTCAAAGTAGGTCCAATCCCTGTCCACCTCTA